CCTGCATAGAAAAATTGTAGGTGCTTCATCCCTGGAGGGTTTTAAGAAGAGACTGGACAGTCAGTTGAAATGGTATATAGAGGGTCTCCTGTTTGAGCAGGGGCTGGACTAGAAGACCTCCAAGGTCCCATCCAGCTCTATTCTGATTGAAATATCCCAATATGGCTGTGAAACTGAAACCATTTGCCCAGCTCAAATCCACTGTTCCAATTTTTCTATGCAGGATTCATTCTCTAGCATTGCATTTTGAGGGCTGGGTGAGTTTTCTGATCCCAGTGAAGCAGAAACAGGGAGAAATGTTTAAAAGTCCAGCCTTGAGATTGATTGATAATGGTTTTAAAATATAGATTTTCCCCTTAACCCTAACCTCCTCATGAGACAAATATTTACAGGACATGGTGGTTGTTCATCTTTTAAGACAAGCCAGGTGTTTTAAACCAGTGGCTACGATGGCTTAAGTTATTATGAGAATTGGTAGCCACTATATCTGGAGCATTATTAGAGCTGCAATCCTTCTGTCAAGTCTATGCTTCCCTAGATGTCAGTCAGTTATATGTTATTTAAGGGTGAGGGATAAGAGGAATCTGAAAGGAACATAGTTGTGCTGTCCCGGGAATGGAATGCAGCAGCTATCCATTTAACTAACCAACCAGGACAGGCATTGCTACCAAAGCATCTTCTCCGAATGTGAATGGACAAGGGGGAGATGGGAGGGGGGATGGGCCCGGGGAAGGGAAAATTAACTTGGGGATTTGGGGGGGTCAAACTCCTAGTTCTGGCTTTGCTTACCGTAACCATGTTGCTTTTAGTTAACATACCTTTTTCACTACAGATGGAGCGGAGAGTGTTTCTTTCCTGTAAGAGACCCAAGTTTGGGGCCAGGTCTAGCAAGAACTCTGGATTAAGGAAGGTGATTTTAAACCCTCTTTTATGGCTTGTGGTTCTTTGTAATCATTTTCACTGCATTGGGGGGGGGAGCTGCAGGGAAAGAGAGAAGATTGCAGGGCAAGGAACATGGTTAGAAAAACAGTTTCAAACCTGCCCTCCCATGCCCCCAAGGCTTTTTTAAATTCCTTTCTGCTTGTCCTTCCCTTTCAAGGCTGCCTGCACCATCCCACCACTGATTTTTTTCCTCAGATTTTCTTTTTTTTTAAAAACCACTNGCCTTAGAGCTTTCCTGAGTCCCTCCTTGCAGGTTTGGGATGACAAAATAATTTGCAAGTGTTTATGTCCCTTTAAACACCCATTTTATGAGGGACTGTTTCATTTCAAATGAGCATCCCTCATGTAACTTCATCTTTTCAAATGTAGCTATTTGAGATCTCTTCCCTTAAAATACTTCCTTTACTCAATAAGACAGCTTTATCATATTACTCCTAATATTTAGGCAAAATCTGTTACAATTCCAATTACATTATTCAAATCCTCCCTCTCTGTGGCAGCAAAAAATAACTTATTTCTTTTCAGATACTCAAAAGTTCTTGCATAATCTTATCTTTGCAGGTGAAATGTACCCAGCTCCTTGCATTTAGAAAACAGGACTCTAAGCAGCCCTAGAACTTTTCTCTGATATGCTAATGTTCTGCATGCAGGGATTTTGAATTGTATTTAGTCTCCAATTCTCCCAATTTATAGATTATTCGGGTTTTAAGTCTTTATTTAGTTAACAGTCAAAGAATTTCAGCAACAACAAATATTCACATGGCATTATTTAATAAGTACATCACAAAACATTTATTTTTTCCATACTAAGAAAGTCACAAATTTCAAAAGACATAATAGGCTATAAAAAAGAACAATCAGGAAATATGGAAGAAAATGGTTTCAAGGGGAAGAAAAGGGAGTGCCAATGTTTAAAGAGGTTCAAATATAAAAGAAGAAGCTGGCAGACCCATTAGGAAAACTGGCCAAAAGTGTATCCAAAAAGAGACAAATAATGGAACATGAAATATTTGTGAAGATTTCATTTAGAATCTACAACTAATACATGTACAGAACTGTCCTAGCAATTCCCAACCCACAAATCTTGACCCAAAGTGAATATATGTATAAAAGAGCTGTAGGAAAGGACATGCCAGTTATGATTATGGAGGATTTTTCTTTCCAGCACAAAATACATTTTTGCTGTACTGCAGATGGTGGCAGTGAAGATTAAACAAGCACCCCAAAGCCACATACAAAGTTTTAGACCAATGTTTCTCAACTGTGGCTAATTTTAAGATGGACTTCAACTCTCAGAATTCCCCAGCCAAGTCTTGATAAGGTTGAGAAACAGAGTCTTTGGTGATTTCTGAGTTTGCTTGCAGTCGTTTCATTACCCCACTAGGTAACATCATCCCTGCGAAGTAGGGTGGGGTTTGTTCAGATTACAAACAAGTTTTGCTCTGTTAGTGTTGGTGGGGGTGTAGTTTTGTCTGTGGTAGAAACCAATGATGTAACCTAGTTGGGTAATGAAATGTCTGCAGTAAAACCACCAAGCTGAAAAGCACTTGATTTGGATTATCGATTTAATTTCTTTGTTTTTACTCTGTTCCTTTGCTGTGCTTTGTTGGCTGGGGAATTCTAGGAATGGAAGTTCACACCCTTTCATTTATCCACTGCCAAATATTCCAGTATTTGAGAGATTTGCCACAAAGAAGATGGGGCCAACTTATTTTCCAAAGCACCAGAGGGCAGGACAAGAAACAATGGATGGAAATTAAATCGATAATC